AGAGAGAGAGAGAGAATGAGAGAGAGAGAGAGAATGAGAGAGAGAGAGAGAGAATGAGAGAGAGAGAGAGAATGAGAGAGAGAGAGAGAGAGAGGACTTCGGATAAATTTTAGAGTAAGAATTAGAGTGGAAGTGAGAGAGAGAAAATGGTAGGATGAAACTGAAATATGAAAAAGAGCAAGAATAAAAATAAGAGTAGGTCTCTCTTTGTAACATTAAAACATTCTTACAGCTGTTATTGGAGGAGGAATTGGAGGAACAGCAGCTGCATATTTCTTGAAACATCATTTTGGAGATGACCTTGTCCTACATCTGTATGAATCACATGCAGTCGGGGGGCGTTTGGCTGTGCGTTCTATTGCTGGAAACACTTACGAGATTGGTGGTGCTGTTATTCATCCAGAAAACAAGTACATGAAGGAGTTTACCAGTAAATATGGTAAGACGGTCGTTTCTCTGTTGATTGTATTTTTTTTTCATGTTTTATGAAAGTTATCTGATTTTGCATATGATGATGTGTGTGTCTATTGGATTTACTTCAGAAATTAAGTGGGGAAAATTCTGTAATATTTGTAATATGAAATTTTGGGCTCCAGTGAGATAGGAACAGTAAATATTTCCTGATGTTATTTTTAGAATATTGAAATATAATAGCAAAGGAAATGTATGTGGTGTATATACTTTGTGATGATGCCTTAGAAACATGTAAAATATGTAGCAGAATCATGCTTTTTTACTTGTAGTAGATAATCAATGATAATTAAACTCATTCTTTTTAATAATAAAAAAAAGAAGCTCAAATAAGTGTATGTGATTTCTTCTCCAAAAGGCCTTTCTGAAAAAGAAAAGTGCCTCAGTCGAATGGGAATCTTCGATGGAGATGAGTATGTGTTCCAAGCCAGTAACTTTGGCTTTGCTGATACTGTCAAGTTGTTTTGGAGGTACGGATGGGATGTGCATAGTTTCCATAAGAGCACTAAAGACTTGCTAAAGAAATTCAATAGGTGAGTATCGATTTTCCTGTGTACGAAGTAGTTTCTTTCAATTAGCACATTTTGCATTGCTATACAAGTTTTGGAATGAGGGATGATTTTTGCACATATTCAGTACCGGCACCAAAACTGAATTGCTGCTTGGGATCCCTCTTCACCTGCTGATGCTGATGAAGAGTGGCTCTAGGCTATGGCTCCTTTGTTCTATTTTATTTATTTATTTGTTTCATATTATTTATTTATTTATTTTATTTAATTTATTAATTGATTTTTTATGATAAAAACAATAGTAGTGTGATTCATGGTATATTGCAAACAAGTGAGTTCAGATTAGCCTAATAATTGACTCCTTAATAATTAAGATGTTGCAGAAGATTTTATGGTAAAACAAATGTATGAAAGAAATCATAGGGGATAGTGTATGTGCTCTGTGCCGGTGGGTTATTTTCTAGCTGATTTTGTGATACCAGTGTTGAGTGGCCTGATATACACTGTGGGGCCCCAACTTACATGTTCTGTTGATTTTTTTGAAAAGTTTTGAGTTTAGTGTTAGATTAGCATTCCTCCTGTAAACCAGATTGCCAGTGAATAAGAAAGGAGGAGCAGGCTTGTGCCAGTGTGTGTATTTGTATTGTATTTCAGCGTGATTTATTTTTTATATGAATTCATGGCCTATACCATTAAATCTTCATTATTACATTTTTAGGGGGTAATTTCCATTCACCCAAAGGTAATATTTCTTTCAGTTTACTTTTGTGAGCTGAAAAAAAAACCTCTGTAAGGACTGATGTGCTACTTTGTTTGTTGACTATTGAAACTGCTCCAAATGTGTTACGATGAAGTGTCTTATGTGGTCCCCCCCCCTTTTTTTCTATTATGTTAACTTCATTGATTTTGCACTGGCTCTTGTATTTGTGTAGTTGCTGTCATAACTTGTGTGAGGTTTATCAGTGTAGATACTCTTTTGGAAGGGAGATCCCATGGTCTCCAACATGCTTTCCTTTCATTTATTGGTCTCTTGACCAAATTTACAACTTTTAAATCCCTGATATTGTTGAAGATAGTATTGTCCAACTTATTTTTTGTAGAAAATGTAAATGCACCACATTTTGTTATTTTTTGTTATATTGTTTGTATTATCAGATCAAACTCTCTGAAATAATATAAAAAGAAATTATAAAAACAGACTATTTTTGCCAAAAGTACATATGTTTTTAATGATTTTTTTTTCTTTCTTTTTTATGTGGTTGTCTGTCTGATTTGTTACCATTTTTTCTCCCCCAACAGGATCTATGATTTGCAGGGTCAAGGCCAAGCATTTTCCAATGTAAGCGCTTTACTTAAAGCTGTAGACCAAGATTTGCTGGATATGACACATCTTTCAGTACGGGATTGGTTTAAAAAAAATGGCTACAAGGACAATATTATAGACGAGTTAGTGACAGCAGTAACAAAGTGCAACTATGGACAGAATGCAGATATACATGCCTTAGTTGGTAGGTGTCCTTTGGTATTTCTTCTTTACCAGAGTCATATGTTCTAAAAACTCAAAGACAAATTCAATGTTCTTGTGCTGTTTCTTGTAAGTGTGAGTAAGTAAATATGGGATGGGGGAAGATATATTTTCCTCTAACTGTGAATTCTCATGAATTTGATATTCATAGATATAGGGATAACTCCACAAGATTTCATTAACAAACTTTTGATATTTGACCCCTTGTATAAATGATAAGGAACAATTAGTGAAAATCCTGAGTCATGATGTAGTTTTTAAAATAGGATTATGGAAAACACACATAATAGCACTAGCTAATTTGTAGGATTCTTGCTGCTGTAGAAACAAACAAACAAAAAAAATCCAGGGGACATGTGCACAGCTGGCCAGGGAAATATATATGTCTGATTTCCTTTTCATTTTTTCTCTTTTGAAGGAGCAATAGCTGTAGCTGGAGGAGACCCTAATCTATGGTCTGTAAAGGGAGGTAACATGCGTGTAGCAGAAGAACTTCTGAAGCATTCTCATGCCACACTACTCAAACGTAAAGTTAAAGAAATTATGCTGAATGAAGACGGAAATTTTATGGTGAGTCTCAGGGAAAATGCCATTTCAGTGTATTGATCACTGATGGCAAATGTGTTTTAAGTAAGATTTAAGATGTGAAATTGTTTATAATGTTTGGAAATATACTTACTCTGCATATATTGTTGACAGGTAACATCAGTGGAGGCAGAAACATCAGATAAACAGGGTGAAAGACGTTCACGAAACAGCAGTGTGGATAACAAAGAAGATAAATCTCGTTCTAAAGTCTATGACCTTGTTGTGGTTGCTACACCTTTGACTAAGGACACAAGTGGTATTCAGTTTGTTAATTTTACAAAGAAATTAACATTTCCAGGCCGTTATGAAGAGATCTTTTGTACAATGGTTCAGGGTAAATTGTGTCTAGAAAGTGTAAAACTAACTGAAAAGTATCCTCTTGATGAAATTTTGGTAACAAAGGCACCGCGTGTTTACAACTCAATAAGCAGGCAGACACCAACTGATGCCGTGTGCTCAAAGGAGTATCCAGATGTCTGGAAAATCTTTTCAGGGACTTCTCTTACTGAAGAACATTTGAACGTCTTGTTTAACGAGTGGGAAACAGTCCATGAGGTTAGGTGGTTCGCATATCCTCATTATGACTCTGACCAACAGCTCGGAGACTTTGAGTTGCATCCTGGCCTCTACCATTTAAATGCTATAGAGTGGGCAGGAAGTGCTATGGAAATGAGCTGCATTGGGGCAAAAAATGTGGCATTGCTAGCCCTCAAACACTGGCTGCAAGATCCAACAGCTGGGAAAATGGGGATATTGAGGGAAGAACTGTGATTCAACTAGTCTAGATAGAGTTGATAAAGAAAATGGGTTAATCAAGTGTTATTTATGGCTGTGATAGTAGTGCCTGGTATGTATAAGGAATATGAAATTATTGTATTTGCTTTATTTCTTTAGAGGATTTCTTGTTACAGTTGTAATGAATGAAACAAATTGCATTCTAGTTTCTTAAGGTTTCAAAAAAAGAAAAAATTCACAAAAAGAATAGTTTTCAGTTGGGATATGAAAATTGCTGTCCTTTGTTTCAAGCAAAGGGAAAAAATTGTATTCTTTTTTGTTGATTGTTTTAAGATACTTTATTTTTTGTATTCGTTTATTTTTTTTGCAGCTACAGCATGTAAAAAAGAATAAAACTGAAATACCAGGTCCCTAAACCTTGCCTTTTATTTGCATATGTTCCCAGTAGTGTGGCAGTGGGATGCGATGGTTACAGAAACAGTATAGGGTATGTGCAAGAAGAGTAAGGTATATTTTCATCATTATCAATCACCCTCCCTTACACTTTTCCTTTGACCTCCTTCCTACCCACTTTCCCTCTCTTCCCCTCTCTCTCCTCCTCCTCCTCCTCCTCCTCCTCCTCCTCCCCTCCTCCCTCTCTCCTCCTCCTCCCTCCTCCTCCTCTCCTCCTCGCTCTCCCCCCTTCTTCTTCTCCTTCTCCTCTTCCCTTCTCCTTCTCCTTCTCCTCCTCTCCCTCCTCCCCCCCTCCTCTCCTCCCTCCTCCTCCTCTCCTCTCCTCCTCCCTCCTCCTCCCTGCCCCTCCTACTCCTTCTTCTTCTCCTCTCCTTCCCTCCCTTCTCCTCCTGCGAGCTGCTTCCTCCTCCTTCTTCTCCTCCTCCTCCTCTCTCCTCCCCTCTTTTCCTCCTCCTCCCCTCCTTCACCCTCTCCTCGTCTCCTCCTCTTCTCCTCCTCTCTTCTTCTATCTTCCTTCTTCTCTTCTTCTTCTTCTTCTTCTTCTTCTTCCTTCTTCTCTTCTTCTCTTCTTCTTCTTCTTCTTCTCCTTCTTCTTCCCTTCTGCTCCTTCTTCTCCTCTTCTCCT